ATCTTCGGAATACAAACCTTTGCTAACGATGTGCGTGGAGTCTCCTCTGGGTTTGTGACCTGTAGTTAAGGTCACCCCTGATATGATATGTTTATGGTCTGCCCTGCAGGCTTGGGGGACACACCATTTACGTCAGGGGCGTTTGAATCCTTCTTATGAAAAAGATGCCCTTAAGTTTGAATCTTTATTATAATAAGTTTCCAGGAGATAATATAAAAATGTCTTGAAAAAGACAGAGTCTTTCTAAAGTTTGAACAAAGGTAAAGCTGAGCTAACAGTACCCTTAGCTTATTTTTCCTCTTCTATGCTATCTTTCCATGAATAACAACAAAAGGCCTTTTACTTAAAAATTTTAATGTAGTTGAGTGAAGCAGTTTCTTTCTTTATGGCTTCCTATTTAAAAAATTCTTGGCAGTCCAAAGTCAGCATAGCCATATTTACTTTTAAAAGGTTTGCCTTGTCTTTATCTGCATCTTGTGTTTGCATCTGGTCTGCAGTAGGCTCCAATTTCATCTAAATGCCCCATGGAGAACCAATCCTCAGAGGACCATTTATTGACAAGTCCATCCTTTCCTTACTGGTCTGCGATGCCATCTTTGCAATATATTTGGCTTTTATATATATGATTGGGTCAGTTCCTGATTCATTGTGTCCACTGTTAAGCTTATCTTTCCCTGTGCCAATTACTGCAGTTTTGATAATCCGGTAGGGCAAATCCTACCACCTTGCTGGCATTTAACATTCTCTTCACCTTCACTGACCAGTGGCTTTTGCACCTAAGTCTTACGTTTAGCTTTTCAAGTTTCATGAAAAATTCTGCTGGAATTTTGATCGCAACTACAATTCATTCTAGAATCAATCACGGGGAATTGACTGGAACTACTTCCAGAGGACCTCACTGTTCAATCATTCATTCAATAGCCACCTTTGAGCACCCGACCATTTACACTCCAGGAGCTGTGTCAGATGCTGGGGGTACCATGGCCAATTAACAATAGTGGCAATTTCCGCCTCGAGTTAACTTCTCTCTCTCCATTTAAATCTTCGTTAGTGTCCTTCACAGTCTCCGTGCATTGTTAAATTTACTTCTAGGTATCATTTCTTTATCTGGTTGCCCTGTCCAGGGGCACTCTATCAGTTTGCTGCTGAGGTATGTAACTGATTTTTATATAATTGAGGCGTATGTGAAAAAGACAGTTTCACTTCTTCTGTTATAATATTTATACTTTAATTCTTTTTTTGTCCTCTGTACTAGCTAAGACTTCTGTATAATGTTAAATGTAGCAACCAGAGGCTTTTTTGGGCCTTACTTTAAGGGAATATTTTAAAACATCACTGAGTATGATGACTGAAAGTAGATTTTTGATAAATACCCTTTACCAGGTTAAAGAAGTTTGCTCAATTCCTACTTTGCAGGATTTTGTTTTTAATCATGAAAGGATAAAAAATTTTATCAACTTCATTTCCTAAAACTATTGAGATAGTTTTCCTCTCTGTAATGTGCTAATGATCCTAATTTGCATTAATAAAGTTTCTAATGTTAAGCCAAACAGTATACTGAATACCTGGAGCTTGATGGATTCAGTTTACTAATACCTCTTACAGACCTATGCATAAATAAAATGAACTTTTAATTTTCCTTCCTTGGACTAGTCTTGCCAGCCTTGGGCATCAAGGTTAAACTAGCCTTACAAAGTAAGTTAGGGAGTATTCTCTCTTTTCCTATTTTCTAAGAGACTTTGCAAAAGATCCACTTCATGAATGATTGATAAGACTCTTCCATAAAACTGTCAAGACCTGGGGAGAATATTTCTGCAATATTTACAAGACTATCCAGGTTTTCTACCTCTACTTTAATCAGTATTGGTATGTTACAGTATTCTAGGAATGTATCCATCTTGGTAGGTTTTAAATCTTATTGGCATAAATTTGATTGTAACATTCCCTCATTATCTGTTTAATCTTTACTGCAAAGTTACCCTGGTTCAGAGGAAACTCACTGTTCAATCGTTCATTCAGTGACCATCTTTGAACACCCAAACATTCATGCTCCAGGAGCTGTGTCAGGTGCTGGGGATACAATGGCCAACAAGACCAGACATGTTTCTTCACGTTTTTTTTATGGGTCGGTGGGGACTAGAGATAAAGTGAGCCAGGTGAAGTGGAAGGAGGGCAGCAGGCAGGTCAGCCAGTGAGAAAGCCTGGACTGGACCCCACCTGTGGGCAGTTGGCAGGGACACCCAGGCAGAGATACAGCGTGGCTGTGTGTCCAGAGACAGGCACTGAGTAGAGAGATGAGTCTAGAAAGGGGATCAGTTATCAAAGCATGCAGGTCTCACAACCTACACGAAGGAAGGTGTATGGGCTTTACACCAAGAACCCTAAGACACACGGAGGGGTAGCGCTTCCCTGGCCAGGCCCCTCGACATTATTGTAACGCTAACACACGTTTTTGCAGGGACGCTAAAGTCCTCTGTGAATTTCTTGCTGTCTGAAAACATTCACTGTTTCAGTTTCGATTTTCCTTTCGGGGGGGTCTTAAGCAGGGAAGTGGTCTACACATGCTCCGAGGCGAGAGCGTGCCCTCGCTAACACCACAGGCTTTTCTACAGGAGCTCAAGCGCACAGAATGTATGTGATGAATAAAAGCACAGTCAGCAGACACGCGTGAAGGGTGCATGACAAGCCGTGATTAGAAGATGGCTTTTTAAAAAATCACGTGGCGAGATACTGCCCCACCTAAGGGACAAGGCCCCTGGTCTTAGCATCAGCAAACCCACCCTGGCCCTCGTGTCGTTACCAGTAGGAAGGCTCGCGCTTCAGAAGCAAGTAGCAGCTAGTCTCTTCTCTTAAAATCAGCTTATTAGGAAGCACAAATTAGTTAATATAAATATAGCAATAAGCAGAGGCTTGGTAAATATTAATTAATGGTGCTATAAAATATTTACTCCTCAGATAGCCTTTTGAAAAACTGGCAAATAGAAAGAGTAAAGTATCTCTTAGGCACTTCAAATTTAATCTATCCAGAATCAAGCCCACTACCCCATCCAGAATAGGGAGTAATCTGTAAAACATGGCTTAGATTCTTTTAAAAAATAAAAATAATGTCAATAAGGGGGGGTACAGAGTAATCTATATGAACATGTATGTCTTTTATTACAAATTTGTGTTATGTTAGTTATACACATATGTGTGTATGTGTGTGTGTGTCTGTCTGTCTACATATCCCCCAAAATGCAATGCATGAACCTGACTGGACCCCACCTGTGGGCAGGGCAGCTATAAAGGACTATACTGAGGGGGATTATTAATTTTGGACCACCTAAATCCATATCCTAGGTGTGGGTTACTGCGGTAATGTTGAGGGAATGTCCTTAGTTTTAAGAGACTTGTGCACATTTTTAAAGGTAGTATCATGCCACCTGCACCTTCCATTCAGGTGTTTAACAAAAATATGGGGGGGGGGGGAGAACAAATGTAAACAATTTGGTGAGTCTGGATAAAGGGTGTACAGGTGTTCATTACACAAGCCTTTCTACTTTTACATAGATGTGAAATTTTCAAAAAGGAAAATAAAATAAGTAGACAACCTAAAAAAGCACACGAAAAAAAAAAGCAAAAAAAAAAAAAAAAAAAAAGGCACACGAGCTATTTCAGCTAGAGAAATAAGCCAAGTGGCCTCACGAAGCTGCTGAACAGGTAAAAGAGGAGATAAGATCACATGTGGACAGGTGCGGGCAGACAGGCTTGCCCACGAGGTGAGGGCTTGCAGGTGGGGCTGACTGCGAGGGAGACAACCTGAGTCCTCCAGAGACAGGGACAGTGACTCCTTCTGTGTCCATGGAGTGAAGCGCTGGGGGGCTCCCAAGCGGGGTACCACAGAGAGAAGGGGCCTGCACGGTTCTGCTCTCTACAGTGGGCTCCAGCACCCACTGTCACCTCTTCCCACGCTGTACCCCGAATTGTCCCTGAGAGACCCTGCACTGTTGCAGTCTTCCTGACTAGTCCAGTCTGAGCTTCACTCCCTGCTGCCCGCTGGCACCGAGGGGCTGAGCGGAGGGAGTCCCGCCCTCTCACCCGGAGGGCGGCCAGGAGCTCAACCTCCACAGCACGTGTCTGAGAAGGCAGCCCTGCTCACACCGCCTGAGAACTTGCTGCCTGGCTTTCCCCAATCCTGCCTCTTTCTGTATTTTCTCCGTGTACTGGAGACTGCAAGAAAATAAAATTCCTGAGATCCCTTCAATACAGGTTCCATAGAGGATGCTGAAGTCTTACTAGCTCTCCTCTGCAGCCAGGAGTCATTACTACTTCCGTCACCCAAGCGGAGACGCTAAGAGCCCTGAGCGAGTGACTTCACACCGCCACCACCATTTCCAGCTAATTTCCCTGTCTCTAGACAGAGGGCTGAGGAGCTGCGTGTCACACGCTTCCCGCTCCCTGCTCTCTGTGGACACCACCACCATTACCCTCGCCAGGCAGCCAGGCTGCCCACCTGCTGTCCTGCCGACTGTCCTGCAGTCCTCTGGAAGGACCCATCACAGAGCTTTTCCCGTGTAAGGCCAGACTCCCACCTCCTGGCTTCTGCCTCCTATTTGTTTCCATCCCTGAGCAAAGTTCTCCATCCTCCGCCCTCCCAACCCCCAACCATGTATGCAAGCAATAGCCCAGCCTCAAGGAGGCCTCGAGGGAGGCGAGCGGGGGGAAGCAGAGTTTTAGGGGGTTTGTGGGCCCCTAAAGGCTGTGGTCTAAACAAGCTCGGTCCACTGTGAAAGCACAACCACACCAGCCACTCTCCAGACACCACGGCACCTGTTTCCATTCTGAACGTGGCTTCACCTCCCGCAAGGGCTTTACACTGAGAAGCATGTCGGCTGCAGGACGCTGAGTCCACCAGTGCAACTGTGGGGGCTCTGGCCAAGGGGGTTTATGAAAGTAAACAGCAGGGCCTGCGAATGACAGAGGATAGCTCAGGACATAAAAGAATAAATATACATGCTCACCTCCCCCTGGAAGCTCTTCAGCAGCGGCGCTACCTGCTTGCGCAAATCCTGGAGGAGAGGGCAGGTCAGGAGACAGCCGTTCAAGAAGGAAAAGAGAAGAGAAACACTGGTTAAGCCTCCTGGAAACAGCTGAGAGTGCAGTAACGCTCGTCGGTCTACAGCATCGGGGGCCCCTCCCACCCCTCCCCTCAGCTCCCCGGGCACAGACGGCGCTGACGGGCGCCCGCCCGCCGCTGGGTTAACGGACTCCCACTACCTTTCATTTCTACGGAGTCCTGGTGATACTGCCCCATTTTACGTGTGCTGGGGTCCGACTCTGCTGACAGCAGGCTAAGGGGATTTGTTCAGAATGAAACTGGATATTATAAGGTAGGTTTGATTTGTTTGAGTCTGAAATGGATTTGGGCCCACTGTCCTGCATTTTAGCTGTTAACTCCCGAGTCCTGTTAAGATGACATACCTGGTTTGAATCCAAGTCTGATAATCACTGGAAACTTTACCCCAAGCCACTAGCCCTCATCTCATAAAACTGGGGTATCCCAGAGGTGAGTTTGTACGATCTTCTTGAGAATGTTTTATTTAAAAGGAAGTAATTGACTAATGCACAACACCGTGATTATATTCAGCAATACTGTATTACAAACTTCAGTGTTGCTAAGAGACTAGATCTTAACTGTTCTCAACACACACAAAAAGAAATAATTATGTGATCTGATAAAGATTTTGGCTAACCCACTGTAGCAACCAGACTGTTGTATACAACACGGTTGTATACTTTTAACTTACATGATGTTACATGTCAATTACATTTCAATTTTTGAAAAGTGGAGTAATGGAGGAAGTGCTTCAAATACCTTTCAAAAATTCGAATGAGGCAACTTCTCCCTTTACTGGGAAATGGGACATATAAGCTATTTACTGAGTAAGTTCTATGTGCCAGATCAGATGCAACAAGTCTGGGCCAGGGCATCTGCCCTCTTCGAATTTCCAAAGTTGATGTGCATGGCCACATGAAATCGACTAGAACTGGTAAAGGCGGACACACATCAAACTGTAACACAGAGTGAAAGTCAAGTGTTATTCCAGAAAGAGAGCAGCTACAGGACGTGAGAGAAAGCCTAACTTCTGATAACTTCTGATAATGGAGCTCAACGGCCGTTTCACAATAGGCACATGGGAGCCGGCAGACAGGCGGGACTTCTACGGGCAAAAGCAGGATCGGGCACGGGGGCCAGCTCGCGGTGTGTCTGTGCACTCGCCCCACCTCCAAACACTGACAAGAGCTGCTCCCAAGGACGCACGGACTCTGGGCAAAGGCGGTCTGCAACGCCCGCAGGGCACGGGGCTGTGCGCAGGGCTTCAGGGCAACACGCGGACAGCAGACCGCAGAGCAGCCACTCACGAACGGTAAGGACCCCCCACCTCCGGAGGGTGGGCCCCCATCCCGAACACACTTATGTTGAAGGGATAAAACCATCGTCAACACGGGCCACACGGCTCCGGGCACGTACATGTCCAGTAATCTTGACAACTCTTTCACTTATTAGGAATGACAACATCCTCATCACTTAAGGACAAGATTGCTAACAAATGTAAAGTTAACCTAGACGGAGCTGGGGGTTTTGGTGTATCGGCTGACAGTGGATGAAGTGAGACCCTCCCCTGGGGTTTCTGAGGTTTCTGAGTAGCTGGACCCTGGGTCTGCTCTCCCCGAGGGAGCCACCCTAGTCGACTGCCTGTAAACACGGGCATGTCTGGCACCTGTTTTTTGGTAACTGACTCACAGCGTTTGTGCTCCTTTGGCCAAGTTCTTAGTTCCTGGGGCCTCCCCACCCCAGGCTCCTGAATCCAGCTGCCTCGCTTACCTGTAGGGTGACCCCGAATCCCGACTCCTGGGTGCTGGGAGAGGGTTACAGCTATCTATGCCACCCAGGGCTCTTTGTGGTTTTCCCCTGAACCAAGGGCCCTTCACCTCTTGGGATCATGAAGCCATCTGAGAATCTGGGGAAAGCTACTGATGCTTCCTCCACGGAGAAAGCTGCAACCTAGTTCCTAGGGGCCGTCTGAGACCCCACCCACACTCTCCAGCTTAGGGCCCCTGGCTGGGTGGAGCCTGAGCTGCCCACGACCAGTGGCCAGCAGCTGTTAATTTACATTTAAATGTAACTTAATTTATATTCAGTGTAACTCAAATTAAATTAAACATTCAAGTTCCTTGGCTGTAGGGACCAACTTCAAGTCCTTGGCAGCTCCAGGGTAGTGTTGCCATGGAGGATGCCCACCACTACAGAGGATTCTTTACTGAGTGCGAGTCCTGCTGCACCGGATGCTCTTGGCCACACATCACGGACCCACATAACTTTACATTACAGCCCTGTAAAATTATTTGATGAAGAAGTATTGTAATTTCCCTTTCATTATATAGTTTTCTACAGGATGTGTTCTTAAGTGATCCCCACTAGTTCCCTGGTGAAGTCAATACTTTTGTTCCTTTTCTGGATCATTTCCTATCTATTTTTTACATCAAGTTCAATGACCAAAAAAATCACCAAACAAACAACCTATCAAAATCTTTACCAGCCTCTTCTGCAGGGAAGAAGGCCGCGGTGGGCACACTGACACGGACGGCTTCTGGAAGATGGCCACCCCAAGCCTGACTCTGAGCCCCTGACCGTCGGGGACACAGTAAGGAAGCCGGGAATCTCCAGGGAGGGGCCTCACACCGGAGGGCCGGGTGGGTGGATGCTCCTTCTGGAGAGGAGGCAGGAAGGCGAGGGAGATGAGAGGGCCGGGCGGGAGCCAGAACAGGCCGCGGCGCCGGAGCGGCACAGAGACGCAAGGCCCCGCGGCACTTCTGACCCGAGCACAGCTCCGCGGCCCCTGCCAGACCACAGCGGCACTGGGCACCTCGGCCCTCGCGGGTCTCATCTCCCCCACCGAGCGCACGGCAGTCTGCCACACGGCCCCGCAAGCGGGCATCGCTCACGCATCCCTGTGTGCCTCGCGGGAAGACGGGCGCGGAGCATCAGCCAGAGGGGACGATGACAGCCCAGCCGGGTCAGGTCAGGCCCACCCTGCTCGTGGAGCAGGACGCGGCGGGGCCCACGGCAAGGCCCCACGGCGCTGGGTGGGGCTCTCGGGAGGACGGCGCGCAACTTTTCCAGCCCGAACCAAGTCGCCAGTGGCTGCCGTTTCTTTCTCAGAGGCGGCGCCGACGGCGGCGCGGCTGTCCCTCCCGTGGCCTCACCGAGAGCGGGTCCCCGGTATGCGCCGTGGGGGAAGGAGCTGACAACGCCGTGGCGCGGGCTCGGGCGCGGCACCCACGGCATGCGGCTGGCCTGCACAGGCACGCCAGCTCCTCTCAAGCTGGAGAAGGCCGCGGCCTGCGTTAAGCCAGTCTTAAAAAGGAAGATGTGAGCCATTCAAGGGCGATAACTCAGTGCGGCGGCGCCTTCCAACTGCACGGCGCGGAGGCTGCTTCCGGCCAGGGCTGCGGGGCCCAGTCCTTCCCTTCTCAGGGAGCCATGGCTGCGCCCCAACCCCGCCCTCAGGTAGTGTGGGAGGGGCTGGGGGCCTCAGGTCTGCCTTGCCGTAGCTGACAGCTGCTAGCACTGATGGGCCTTGGGCTCTAGCTAAGGCTTCCTGCATGCCTGGACCTGGATTTTGCATAACCAAAAGCAGCCTGGCCCCAAAGTCATGGGCTGTGCTTCCTATCACTTCTCGCACTGTCTGTCAGGGTGGATGTGATCGCAGCTGGGAGTGGATTCCCTTCCTCCCAGCCCGGGAGCTATCTGAGGGCAGGGGCGGGTTTTCGTCACCCCCCATCTCTAGCATCGGCCTGGGCAATAATTTGGTGAGGAGGCCTAGGGGGGTTGTGGGGGGGGGACTTTACACTCCAGAAGGCTGGACCGTGGAAGACGGTCATTCGCCGTGCTAGGTCTGAAGCACATCTTCCCAGAGAGGCCACTCCTACTCGGCAGCAGCCCGCCCCCCACCGTGCACAGCAGGGAGGGCAGGCGGGGTGGCCACAGGCTCCCAGCCAGCAGGGCCTTAAGCTACGCTGGATTCCGTTGTTTCACGCAATACCTGTACCAATGGGAGGCAGCGAACCCTGTACTTATAGACAGATACCTGAGGCTCAGAAAAGGAAGGAATCTGTCCTAGGTCACAGAGCTGGAAGGGTTAGTATGCAAGCCCAGATCTCTCTCCAAGGCCAAGGCTAGAGCGACATTTTACAGAGGAATCCATCACCTTGGCCAGTGTGGGCACAGAGCGGAGATGGGGGCCACCTGGATAGCATCCTGCATGGGGGTACACGTGGATGCGTTTATAGCGCACCCAGACTCAAAGGGGACGTGGGCACGGATGGGGCCACGGGATGTGAGACCACAGGGAGACAGGAGAAAGGGGGGCTGGTGCACAAGGGGGTGCAGGGGCGAGTCACAGGGGCTTGGGTGCAGTCAAGGCCCATCAGTGTCTCTTGCCCTGCCCCCGGGCTGAGGACTGGCCTCAGGCAGCCGGGCCCGAGAAGTGGAGGGGACACAAGGGCACAAGCGCCCCGGCAAAGTGGGCACGCGATCATATGCACTTGTCCCCACTCACTGTCCCCGGTCTTAGCCACATGCTGCATTTTAAAAATCATCTCCTTGGGCCCTCCCTGGTGGCGCAGCGGGTTAACGCACAGCACAAAGAAGCTTAAGCCACTTCCGCATGAGTTCGATCCCCGCCTGCCCCGGAGGTGACCACATGGC